AGTCGCATATCATCACCGGATATCACGGCAGCCCCTTTAGAACCACAAAGAGTGGGGTAAGAGCAGTGGCCATGGGAAGAATAGGTCCTAGCAGGAAAATAAGGGACCAACAGATGGTGAAAAGCTAAATGAGAGAGAGAGCTGTGCACTCAAACTCTGAGCTAAAGCCTCTACAACTAAACCAATCTTGAACAGCATTTAGTGACATAAATAATGCAGATAAAATTATATGCTATAGGAAAATTCTTTTGAGTTAGCAAGCTTATTTTTATAGATGTCAAATATTTTGGCTTCCTAAGGAATTCTTTACCTGGTATCCTATAAATACTTTATTTCAGGAATTATGTATAGAACATGACTCAAAATTTGGGGAAATAACAGCTTACCTTACTGACGAGGAAAAAGCAAGTAACAGATGATGCTTTCCTGAAATTTCCTACTGTATTCACCTAGTTGCGATGGCGCAGTGGCAAAATATGCCAGGGAATTACTTCTCAACAAAATTCTATTAATGAACATTATTAGAAAGTGCACTCTTCTGTTCCCCAGGTATATTTAGGCCTTCTCATCCTCCCTTCCTATTCAACATCTCTCTCATACTTTCCTTTTCTTTATTTCTCTAGATTACATTCTGCTAACTTCTTTGGCCTTATCGTTCAGCTAATTCTCCCTTGGCTTATAATTTCTGGCTAAACCAGGACTTTTTCCTTCATTTTTCCTTTCTTTTTTTTTTCTCTGTGCCAGTTCAGTATACATCCAAAATAAAGACACACATAGATACCAGCCATTCATTTTAGGGTATCTAATCTACCATTCTATTATTATCAGACAAGGAAATCTTATCCTATCCTTACTCAGCACTTCCCTCTTCTTTCCCCTCCTGAAATTCATTTAGACACCAAGTATTTCATATAATCTAAGAAACTCCCAACCCATCCCCCTCTGCTAATTCCGGCCCTCCCCGTTTCCTAGACAAGCTGTTAAAGCCTCCCAGCCCAGTCTAATGACCCGTCTTTCCTCACACTAAGGTTTGGAGGTAGTAAGAGCTAGACATCAGTTCCAGACTCTCCACTGGGTTCCAATCCATCTCAGTCTGTCCTTGTTCCCCCCACTTCACGTCCATCTTCCCTGCCTCACAGTCAACCCTATAGATTTCAGCAGATAGCACCAAACACAGAAGTGACAATTTTCATAGACTGTTCAGCTTCTATAATTATATATACTATAGCTATATATTCTTCATTAGATCTTGTGTTTTGCATCTGTGAGCAAACCTTGACTGATACAGCAGTATCTAGAGATCTGCTCATTATAATCCATCAGATGGATATAACTTAGCTTATTCATGCAACTCCAAGTCCCCTAGTGATGGACAAATGGGTTGTTTTTAGTCCTTGCTCTTAGGAATAGTGCTGTGGTGAACATTAATATCTTTTCAGACTTTTATTAGTCTATCTCTGAAATAGATTCTTAGAGGAAGACTATGGGTCAAAGGGTAAATAATCATTACTGCTATCAGTTCTCTTCCCTCCTTAAAATCTATGACTTCTTCTGGAAACCATATACGCAACTGTGGCAGATACTGGTAGTTGTTAATATCCATCTCTCATCATTGCATAATAAAATTTTTAGTTGGACACTAAGCTAAAGACAACTTTTCTCAGCCTCCCTTGTGACTGGGTGTGGCACCATGATGAAGTTCTGACCAATGGAATATGCACAGATTTAATATGTGCAATTTCCAAGTCATTCTTTAAGAGAAGGAGAATTCTCTTCCCCTCCCTTCCTTCCCCCTTCCTTGTGGCTGAAATGTTTCTGTGATGTTGGGAGCAAAGCAGCCATCTGGGACCAGAAGCTGGAAAGTCACAAAGACAAATGGAGAAACCAGACAGGATTCTGGTGTCCTGATATTTATGTGAAAGAGAAATAAATTTCTGTCTTACTTAAGGCCTTACCAAGAGTTTACTGTTAGCCTAAAGAATATATCTAACTTTTTTTAGAATCATCTACTTCATGAATATATCTATGTTTAAGAGGTCATTCCATACACAGATTTTTTAAACATTGCATTATACTCAAAAGTTATCTTTACTTATATATGACTATGTTTTGTCTAATTAAGATTACTTAGTAATTAACCTAAATGGGCTGTCATGTAACGAATACAACTCCCGATTATTTTTGCAAAGGATTGTCAGCCTAGTATTTAAAATACATTTGTGAACCTTCCCAGTATGAATTCCTTTAAAAAACTCGAAATGTAAAGGTTCATACCTTTGGTCTACGCTATTTTAACTATTCCCAAATGTATGCTGAAAATTCATAAAGAATGTAGGAATAATAGTCAGCCTATTAAATTATTATTTATGTATATTAAAAGTCTTCCCATTGCCACCACTTCTAAGTAGCCTCTGTGATAAACCTACAGTATCTTCTTTCATTGCTCTATCTGATTCTGTTAATACAGAAATGTCTTCTACAAAGCATCTCAGATTACTGAATCAAAAATGCTCCATTCCTTTTTATATCATTCTGAACAGAGGGAAGTTTGGCGTTTCCTCCAGCAGCGTGAAGCAGACCTGAGAGATGAACAGAGCTAGGAAGAGTTGCTGCATGGAAGGCAATGAAAAATCAGAGACAGAACAGGCAGCGCCCCTCCCCTCCCCCGTCCCTTCCAGTAATATGGTCAACTGGAAGATACCACTTGAACCAGAAGCTAAGTCTAAGAAAACCATGGGTTAAGAGCGTCCTGAATTCTAAGAACTGAGAATCAAATAAGATAAAGAGAGATAGGCAGCATCAGTTACTGTTTCAGAACTGATATGAAGCACTGGTTCTCAAGATTTAGTTGGAGTCAGAGTCACCAGGAGGGCCGCTAAGAGACAGCTGAGCCTCACTCCCGGAGGTTCTAATTCAGCAGGTCATGAAGCGAGGCCTGACAATGTGCATTTCTAATAAGCTCCCAGGAGGCTTAGGCTGCTGGCCCAGGGATCAACTCTAGAGAACACAGTTTTGGCCTTCTCATCCTCCCTTCCTATTCACCACCTCTCTCATACTTTCCTTTTCTTTATTTCTCTAGATTACATTCTGCTAACTTGCAGAAAGTTTTGGTGGCTCACTCTTTTTTTCTAGACTACTTTCTTCTGCAGAGAAACTCTCTAGCTGTGAAAGAAACTATTTTGCTCTTTACTGAGCCCCTGGAGGTCAAGAAAAGATTCAGAGTTAAAGTCCTTGAAATGGCACATAATCATTGGGAAACTTCTGAAAAACCTTCGAGCCCCATTCCTCATCAGTGTTTTTCATAATCTCTCCCAGCGCCAAGGCTACAACAAATTTCGCAAGTTCATTCTCTTAGCAGGAATCCTGTAACATTACACATTTCCTTTACCAATGTTGATTTCCAAATTTGCAGCAAACTGAATATTACTTTTCTAAGTTTCTTATTCACTCTCCGTTTATTAAATATGTACTGAAAAAATCTGCATTAGTTGATAAGTTTGCACAGTTAGTTGGCCTTACAAATATAATATCCATAGGGGATCTAAAGTAATTAGCAAATAGCCACTCAGTGTACACCTTCCGTGATTTCCTGTTCACCTCAAGACTTTAAATTCTTATGTTATTTCTAATTCCATAATGAGATATAAATCACAACAGAGTTCCTAAAAAAATGTAAAGATTCCATTTAAAATATGTTTAACTTAAGAGCACTGGAACTCTGAAAATTTTCCAATGGAAGTATAAAATGGTATAACTCCTTTGAAAAACTCTTCAGTAAATTCTTACCAAGTTAAATCGTCTACCCTGTGAAATGCCAATTCCATTCCTGGATGTTTATTACTCAAAAGAAAGGAAAGAGTATGTTCACAAAGCACCTATTCAAGAATGTCCCTAGCAACCTTGTACAAGATAGGCAAAACTGAAAACAGTGATGGACATTTATTCATCAACAGGAGACTGGATAAATCGTGATTATATTCATACAGCAGAAATACTACTCAGCAATGAAAAAGGCATAAACTCTTGATAAGCAACCACGTGAATGAATCTCAAAACATGAGGTTGAGCAAAGGAGGCAAACACAAAAGAATACATATGGTGTGATTCATTTCTATGAAGCCCTAACACATGTGCAACTAATCTCTGGGGAAAGAATCACAAAGTGGCTAAGTTTGGGGTAGAGAAAATAGATTGGCAGGGAAGAGGCAGAAGGAGCTTCCTGGAGTGATGAAATTGTTCTAGATTTTGTTTTTCACAGTCTTTACCTGAATGTGTAAGACCGTCAAAAAAAATCTATCAAACTGAACACTGAATATCTGTGCCCTTTACTGTATGTAAATCGCGTCAATAAAAAATGATAAGCTTAACTATTCAAGAAAAAGAATGATTTACCAAAGCAATGTTCTTTATATTCAAAATAAAATATACTTTAGACAGAATAGTTTGATATTTAAGATTTCCATTATAGGTAATAAATAAGCAGTCACAGATGAAGGTTACAGAATTATGATTCTGAGCTCAAGGTAGGGTGACTGAACATCTCAGTTTGCCTTTAGACAGTCATTCTAGTGTTGACCTAAAGCCATAGCACTGATAGTGCCGCCTTTGCTATCAAATGTATCCTGATTTAAAGGAAGACCCATAGCTAAAAGGACATTTGATATTATTTGGTACAATGCACGCATTCACTTTGCCATTCAATCTACATTTACTAAGCACCTACTATGTAGCTAAACATAGTCTCTATGTTCTTGCTAACATTTCACATTGCTCCTTTGTTTCCACAATCAGAACCTCAAACAGCTAGATGGATTTTTCCCTAAAGTTAGCATAAAATAAACAGCGAAAGACAAACTAAATATAGAAGAAAGCAATCAGAATTTTCTATAAACAAGGAAAATACAAATACAGCTTATAAAAAAAGGGTTGCAATTCTTTTGAGCTGTGTGAAACAAAATGCATAAAGATAGTCACAAATATAAAATAAAGGAAACCTTTACCTGCTGCCCTGTAAAGTATTTTAGGTTCAAAAAATATGCAAGGATTTTTATCCTCTATGCATGACAAAAGAAGTCCCTTGGCCTGGAAAGGGCTTCTGGGTACAACCACCTGCAAAAACAGATTTTTTTTTTTAAAGACCATTTCAGTACAAAATGTAGCCCAGTAAACTCACTTATAAGAAGGGTTGATATTTCAGTAACTTATTGTCACTAATTGCAGGGATCTTGTATTTTTAGCTTAATTACCATTATATATGTTACATATTGTCCCACCCCCCAAAAAAATTCCATTGTTAAGCAAGTATTTATCAGATGTCCATCATAGTCCGGTAGCTAAGATACTGTTCTCTTAAAAAGCCAAACTTGCATACGTATACTAAAAGCAATCTGCAAGAAGCAAAGTTGTCGATATCTTCCTATATTCACCTATAAAAAAAACTTTTCCACTAATACTCTACTGCTACTTTCAAAGGGCATGTAAATTCTTCTCCAATTTTAATATACCAAAATCTCCTCCTTTCCCATGAAACACAGGGTCTTCATTTCCTAAGAGGAAAATAATCCACTGAACTTTATGATCTGGGCACTGTAATGTCCGGTTATTGCAAAGCTGAAAGGAAAGTGTAGATACTGCCCACTTCCTCTTGAGAAGGCCTTTGAGAAGGAGGAAGATGACCACAGAAGGTGGCACAAGTGTTAACTGGGCCAAGCACTCTATGTGGATACTAGTGTTCATAGCAACCCATACTATTATTATTTTCCCCAATTTAGAAAGAGACACAAAGGATTAAAAGAGAGATCAAATAATTTGTCCAAAGTCACATTGATTGCTTGACCAGGGATTCTTCCACAGTTCTGACACCAGACCCTAAGCTCTTACTACACCATTTTGCCTCAAACCACAAGCTTATGTCTAGTTTATAATGACCATTAAATAACTGCATAAACACCAGTAGGTTGCATAAATACCAGTGAATACCAGTGTTACATAGGAAGAGTTATTAAAATAAATCTGAGTTGATCTCAAAGATTCAAATAAGATTCCTTGAAACAAACTACATTTGGCTTTCAAAATCAATTTTACACCATTTTAAAACTTTAGGATTCTTATTTAAAAAATAGCACAAATCTCACTCTTTTCTGTAAAAACAGACTGCTGAACACATTGCTTAGCATACTACACAATGTCTTTAGGTTCCTACTTCAGTTTCTCTTCATCTGCTTTCCTCGTGTATTTTTAACATTTTGTACTATTTTCATTTGGGATTAAAAAGAGGGCAAGGGGCAAGTGGAGAAAGTCAGGAGATTGTGGAAAAAAAACCTCTTATTAAAAATTCTGGGTAAGATCATAAACTTTAAATGTGAATCAGTGTTCAGCTCAAGCACAAAAATAAGTGTTGTTTCAAATGTGGCTTCTGTCCCAACCTACCACACCACTTCCAGCTTACATTGAAAAGTTATGCAACCCTACTCAACTAAAAAAAAAAAAAAAAATTATGACTGCTCTGGTAGAAAAAATAAAAATAAAACACACGTGTTTACAACCAATTCATGTTACCAAACACACATACATCACTAGGTGGACACAGGAGTTTCTATCACGATGCCCTAGAAAGCTCTTCAGCAAATAGAAACCGAAAAGATAATGTAAAAAATTAAAACATAAAATATGCAAAAAAAAGCCACTTTTTTTTTTAAATCAAAAGACCTAAACTATTGTGAAAGACGTAAGATTATTATGGAAGGCTTTAAAAGACAGATGCTTCAAAATTGTTTGATCAAGTATTGCCTTACCTGGAAAACACATATGGATAAGAAGGGCTTCTCTTAAACTGAAGCAAAAGTCCTATCCCTCTGACTTTGAGGTAAATATGTATTAAACAGTAGATTTATTAAAATTAACCCAGAATCGGTTAAGTGAGTCCCATTAGAAAGAAACAGAGCTTTGAAAGAGGGGGATGTTAAACCAACTATGTTCTCTATCTCATCCTTTGAAGTTGGTGAAGTTAATGTCAGGGTTAAGCCAGTGCTACTTCAACAAGAATATTCTATAAGCCTGGGAATTGGAGAGCTGATCTTAAATAAATACTCTCTTTCTAAAAAAAGAAAAAAACAATTAAATTCACATAAATTCCATAAATCCTGTTTGCTTTCCTTTAGATAAGCATATCAGTTAACAGAACAAACCAAAATGGAAATATCCAACAGAGAACAAATAAAGTACATAAATAAGGATACCTTGATTCCTGGACAGTGAGCAAAAAAAGCTTCAGGACTCTGAGAATGATAAAGAGCCCCATGGCCGACACAGCCCCAAGGCGCCCGGATAGTGAGGCTTCCACAATTAAAAAGATCCCCAGAGCGATAGCGGTACTTGGCAGCTTCGTTAACAATCTTGGCAGTGGGGGGAGGGGAGAAGAAGGACGGGTCACAAGGGTCCTTTATTTTCCATCCTTTTCCCTAACTATTTGATCAGCTCTTTAAATATACGCCCATAACAAAATAACTCCTAATGCATTAGCTCAAAGATGACCTAAAAACCCCCACGATCAGAGGTGGGAGAGTGAAGGCAAAACTCCCAACACTTCATGGACTTAATCTAAGGAATGTTTAATTAGAGGGGTGCCTGGGTGGCCCAGTCGGGTGAGGTCTGCCTTCCCAGGATCAAGCCCCAGCATCAGGCTCCCTGCTCAGTCCGTGGGGAGCCTGCCTCTCCCTCTGCCCCTCCCCCTGCTCGTGCTCTCACTCTCTCTCATAAATAAATAAAATCTTAAAAAAAAAAAAAAGAAGTGTTCAATTATAGTAAAATGAAACCTTCTTACCTGATCAAAAGCAGGGAAAATATAATCTGCAAACTGAATTTCTGCAATAGCGGTCGCCCCAGTGACTGCGACCCCAATTCCAAACCCAACGATCCCTTGTTCACACAACGGCGTGTTGAAAACTCTATCTTTTCCTAAAAAAAAGAAAAAATAGTCCTCATATGACAAATGGGAGTGATGTAATACACAGCAAAACTGAAAACTCAGGGAGTTAATGGTGACAGAGAAAAACAGCATAGAAGAGGTGAAGGAAATAGAAGATAACTAGCATGTACAAACATAATAATTATATTAACTGTAAGTAATCTTAGTGTTTCAACTGAAAGAAAGGTTGTCCCTCCGGGATAAAAGAAAGCAAAACCCAACTACTTAAAAGAAAACACTGAGACAATTAAGATAACAGAAGACTCAAAAGTGAAAGGAAAGAAAACGAATGATGAAAACCCTAACCAAAACAAGGTGTTGTCACCACAGGATTAGTGGACAAAGTACACTTCAGGGGAAAAGGCATTACCAGAGATAAAGCATGAAAATTCATAGTTTTAAAGGGTTCAAATCACAGGGAGGACATAATTCTAAATCTACACTCATGGAACAACACAGGCTCCAAATAAATTAGAAAAATTAACAGAGGGACGCCTGAGTGGCTCAGCTGGTTAAGCGGCTGCCTTCAGCGTGGGTCATGATCCCAGGGTCCTGGGATTGAGCCCCACATCAGGCTCCTTGCTCAGCAGGGAGCCTGCTTCTCCCTCTCTCTCCCTCTGCTTGTGCTCTCTCTATCAAATAAATAAAATCTTTTAAAAAAAAAAGTTAAAAGAAAAATTAACAGAATTAAAAGGAAAAATGGATAAATTCCCAATATGGTAGGAGATATTAATATACCAGTATCAGTAACTGACAGAAAAAGCAAACCAAAATAAAAAGGCAGGACTAGAGAAGATTGGTATATGATTAGCAAATACGACCTAACTGACATGCAGAGGACACTGCACCCAACAGCCAAGAATACAAACCCTTTTCAAGGAAGGAGAACACGGACATTCACTGACCACAGACTGGGCTGTACGTCCAATCTCAACATATTCTGAAGGATTAAAATCATAACAGGGTGTGTTCCCTGACCACGATAGAACTAAACTAGAAGCCAATAACAGAAAGAGAGTTAGAAAATCCTAAGTTAGAAAAAAATTTTAAATATGTCTAAATATCCACGGCTCAAGGAAGAAATTATGAGGAAATTATAAAGTATTTTGAACTGAATGACAATGAGAATTATATATCAATTTGTTGAGGTTACCAATTTAGTAAGGAGTCGAGTAGCTTTTTACAGACTAACCCGCCCACATCTATTATCAACTCTGGACACAATATAACAAATAACTGACTTAAAGGCATTGGAGAGCCAAAAAGCACGCCTAACCCAAAGGGGGCTTGATCCTTGAAAGAAAGGAAGGGCAGTGGATAAGAATAACATTTATAAGTCTTGTCCCCTGAGGGGGCTTCTCCACTCTCTGTGACAAGGGACTGTTGGATTCAGACAAGACAGACTCAGTCTTTATTAGCTCGGTGGTATGAGAGAATGGGGTTCAGGGCCGCCAGTGGCTAGACACTGAAGAACGAGGCCCTTAAAAGAAGAACAACACATAGGGGCACCCCCAAGTCTGTACGTAAACTCTGTTCAAATCTTTGGCTGACCTCTATGGCTGTAGGAGACTCAAAGAACCCAGCAGATGGCAGCTGGAAGCCCAAAGAGCTGAGCAGAGATTTCGGCTCTACCCACTAAGGAAAAGACAGAATTTGGAGTTTGAGACTGTTCAAATCAAAAGTGCTTGATAAACACCTCAGGCTTTGCACTGGAACAACAAGGTGCATGTTACTACTGTTCAATTCTCATTTGAAATTTCACCACCCATCAGCCAATATCAGCATTTCCTGAAAAATCCTAATTTCAGGGAGCTGGAGAGATGCAAATAATGACCCCAGTCTGGCCAGGTGACCAAAAGTCTGTGGACGGATCGGAGAAGCATATTTCAGTCCCGTGACTGAGGGACACTGGTTCTTCTTGGTGCACAGAATCCACTCTCAGCTCAATCATTCCTTTTGAATACAGACCACAAATAAGGCAGGTGCTGGGAAACACCAGCCAGACACATCCTGTTGTCTGCACTCTACAAGCAGGTGCAAAAACTTAAAAGCCATGATTCATACTCATCATCATCTGTGACTATGTTCTGAAATTGTGACCTCTATCACTCATCAGTTCCCTATTTGAAAAAAAAAATAGCTTGATAAGTTCTGAAAATCTAGGGCTCCACTGAACTAAGAACAATTCATTAGTAGAAAATGAACAAAGATTCTAGCTGCCTCCTGTGGAATCCACATCCCTGGAATGCCTGCGCCACCTTAACCAGGTGAGCAGTGTTCTTATTTAGTCCCTGCCACTTCAAGTTCCCTGGATTCAGGTATTTGCCATTTAAGTAGATAACAGCCTTTTATTTTTTTTCTAAAGACTTTATCTTTTCATTTGAGAGAGAGCAAGAGAGAGAACACAGAGGGAGAGAGAGAAGTAGACTCCCCACCAAACAGAGAGCCCAATGTGGGGCTCAATCCCGGGACCCTGAGATCATGACCCGATCCGAAGGCAGACGCTCAACTGACTGAACCACCCAGGCACCCCTAAATACAGCCTTTTTTTTGCTGCTAGAAGACAGCAAAGTTGAGTTTCTCAGAACTGTTACTCAAACGCACGTCTGGTCTGAGGAAACAGCTTAATTTTAACAACTCTCTCCAACAAGCTGCAATGACATGAACCATATGTTAAAAATCTGTTTCTATTTTCTCCCCAAAAGGTAATGATGTGGGTAAGAACACACGTAAATTGCACGATAACGATGACTTCCTCTATGTATGCCATTAAACTGATATAAAGTTCGTACACACAGTATCCCAATAAGTAAATTAACACATACAGTGATTGCGCCATGAGGCAAGACAGATCTGGTTTTCAGTGCTATCTCCACAAATTACTAAACTCCCTAAGGCTCAATTTATTATCTGTAACAAAAGAATCATGATACTAAAAAGAGCAAAATAATTACAAGCAGGAGGCCTACTGTGATTTTAAATAGGAGGGTCAAGAAGACCTCACTGAGAAATGACATATACAGAAAGAGTTGAAGGAAGTGAGAAAGTGCACTGTGCATATATCTGAGGGAATAAGTGTTCCAGGCAGAGAGATCGGCAAGTGCAAAGGTCCTGGGGTATGGGGCATTTCTTATTACATCAGAGGAAAGGTAAGAAGTCCAGAATGCCTGGTCTGGAGTAAAAGAAATAGTGGTAGGAGATAAAGCTGAAGAGTTGAGAAAGTAGGATGGGGAGGTGGCACAGATCAGACAGGGCCTTGTAGGTCACTGTCAGCTCTCTTTTCCTATGACAATGAGTGAGTCAACAAGTAGGTAAGGGAGAGAGGAAGCCACCGAGCAAAATCACACCATTCTCTCAACTATATTCCATCTCTCTAGCTGGTATTTGGTGAATAGCCTCTAACCAGGCAAGGGGGACATGGCAAGTCTGATTACAGGATACTGCAACAATACCAGTAAGAGATGATGACACCTGATTGCAGAAAAGGTGTGAGACTCTGGATATAGTCTAAATACAGAGTCCAAAAGATTTGCTGATAAAATGGATACAGAGCGTGAGTCAGAGAAAAATGCCAAGGATGACTCTGCCAAGGATGACTCAAAGACTTCTGGCCCACATAAGCCGAAGGAGAAAGTTGCCCTTAACTAAGGAAGGGCAAAATATGAAGCATGTTGGGATGAAACACCAGGAGTTCAGTTATGGAGAGGTTACATCTGAGATGCCTTCTGATGTTAAGGTAAAGCTCGTAAATAGACTGTTACATAGAGGAGTTGAAAGTCTTCAGCATCAAAACAGCACTAAAAAGCACAGGCCTGGATGCAACTGCCAAGCAAATTTATGTGAGAACATAGAGGAAAGATCCAATGTTAAAAAGACCAGCAGTGAGAACTAATATAATCAGCAAAGTCGAAAAGAAAAAAAAAAAGCCAGAGTTTGGAGGAAACATAGAAGAATGTGCTGGCCTAGAAGCCTCTTCGAAGAGACTGGAGTAATCAGCTGGTGCTGTATGCTAACAGTTCCACGTGAGGAGGGCTGAGAATTGTGTAACGGCTGATCTTGACATTAGCAGCGTCAGCGAAGTAGGAAGGAGGGAAAGAATAAAAGCCTAGATTGAGAGGCAGTCGGGGAAGACAGATCGGAGACAATGAGTAATGATAATTATTGGGAGAGATTTTGCTGTAAAGGAGAAAAAAGGAGGAACAACTGGCTAGACAAAAATACGGGATCAATACAGGGAAGTTTTTGGTAAGACCAATAAAAAAGCATATTTGCACGCTGATAAAAATGATCAATAAGAGGGGCACCTGGGTGGCTTAGTTGGTTAAGCGACTGCCTTCGGCTCAGGTCATGATCCTGGAGTCCCAGGATCGAGTCCCGCATCAGGCTCCCTGCTCAGCGGGGAGTCTGCTTCTCCCTCTGATCCTCCTCCCTCTCATGCTCTCTGTCTCTCATTCTTTCTCTCTCAAATAAATAAATAAAATCTTTAAAAAAAAATGATCAATAAGAAAGGAAGAAATGGAGGTGCCTGCGTGGCACAGTTGTTAAGTGTCTGCCTTTGGCTATGATGATCCCAGGACCCTGCGATCGAGCCCCGCATCGGGCTCCCTGCTCCGCGGGAAGCCTGCTTCTCCCTCTCCCGCTCCCCCTGCTTGTGCTCCCTCTCTCGCTGTGTCTCTCTCTGTCAAATAAATAAAATCTTTAAAAAAAAAAAAAAAAGGAAGGAAGGAAGAAATCATTGAGAAAATTAAATGGGGAGATGGAATAAAACTGGGGCTATGTCTTTGGTGGGGAGGGCTGGGTCTGGTGTGGAGAGGTTGACAGGAACCCTTGTGTTCAGTCAGAGTGTGGGAGAAAGGCATGGGTGGGCACTGACGCGGGTATAGGAGCGTGTGCAGCTGTAGAGCTTGTCAAAGTTCTCTCTTCACTGCATCTATCTTCTTGGCAAAACATGAAACTAGATTATTGATAAAAACTAAGGATGGAGGCAGCA